GTTGAGCTATAGGCGCCGAGCCAAATTTAAGTTTTTGTTAATATTTTATAATGTATATGAATAAGTATGTATGAGTATTTATATATGAATAAATGAATACATATATATAAATAAATATACATATAAAAGGAGTATATGCTCAAAATTTTTTACCAATAAGAAAATGTGACCAAAAATTTAGAGATCATGATTCTGGAAGACAGAAAATAATGAGACTAATGTAGATTTATTTGTATAGAACCACATTATGTGTGTGTATAAACTTATGCACAGTGGTACACTTAGTAAAGTTTTCCCATAAAATACTTCTCAGTCATTACTAGCAATCATAATCACTTTCAATAGAAATTAAAGTCACTTTGTAGGGCCTGGCCGTAGCTCAGTGGGTATGGTGCCAGCCATATACATCCAGGCTGGTGTGTTCGAACCTGGCCAGGGCAGCTAGACAACAATGACAACTAAATAACAACAAATAGGGTGGCGCCTGTAGCTCAAGGAGTAGGGCGCCGGCCCCATATAAGGGGGGTGGTGGGTTTAAGCCCGGCCTTGGCCAAAACTGAAAAACACAAAAACAAAAAATAAATAGCCAGGCATTGTGGTAGGCACCTGTAGTCCCAGCTACTTAGGGGGCTGAGGCAAGAGAACTGCTTAAGCCCAAGAGTTTGAGGTTGCTGTGAGCTGTGACTCCACAGCACTCTACCCAGGGTGACAGCTTGAGACTCTGTCTCAAAATAAATAAATAAAATAAAGTCACTTTGTAAAGATTCCAACTTATATACCGCAATGTATAAAAGTAAACATTTTACTTAAAAAATCTAAAATTGATTTATTTTTCTAAATAGGTAATGGATTTACATGGTTAAAGAAATCAAAAGAAAAAAAAGAAATCAAAAGAAAACTATATAAAGTAAAAAAGAAAGCCCCTCTCCCACTCCTGTACCCAGGTCCCTACCTAGCAACTTTTAGTTTGTTAATATGAGAAGCAGATTGGAAAATCAAGGCATCTCAGTCCCAACACCACCTGGCCTTTTACTAAGTTAATGAATTTAGAGAAATTCCTTAAATTCCTAGGTTTATCCTTGAACATGATCAAGTAATTCTAAAATGTGTTTGGAAGAAAAAAAAAGTCCACTTTTCCTTCACTACAAAATGAGAGAGTTTAGTTTTTATGTATGTCAGGGCCTATCCAAACAGAAATCATAGTAAGAATTTAATGTAAAGATTTTGATACATAACTGATGGAAGATCTTCACAGGAAACAGTGAAGTGACCCACAGTTTAGAGACAGTGACTACTGACTCTTAAAGGGAAGGAGGTTGGCTCGGCGCCTGTGGCTCAAGGAGCTAAGTCACCAGCCACATACACCTAAGGTGGTGGGTTCGAATCCAGCCCAGGCCGCCAAACAACAATGACAGCTGCAACCAAAAAAATAGCCAGGCGTTGTGGCGGGCGCCTGTGGTCCAGCTACTTGGGAGGTGGAGGCAGGAGACTCGCCTGAGCCCAGGAGTTGGAGGTTGCTGTGAGCTGTGATGTCACGGCACTCTACCCAGGGGGACAGCTTGAGGCTCTGTCTCAAAAAAAAAAAAAAAAAAAAGGGAAGGAGGTTGTATTGCTGGAGCCCAGAAGCCAGGGTTCCTGAAGAAAACTGAAACAAGAAAGCTGGACCTCTTCTGTTAGAATGTGTCTACAGAACCAGTTTAAGAAATCACGAGTTAGAAGGCAGGCACGGTCGTTCATGCATATAATCCCAGCACTTTGGGAGGTTGAGTTGGGAGGATCACTTGAGGATAGGAGTTTGAGATCAAACTGTGCAATACAGCAAGACCTTGTCTCTACCCCACCCCTCCAAAAAAATTTCCCAGATGTGGTGGTGTGCTCCTCTAGGGAAAATGAGGCAGGAGGATCCGTGAACCTAAGAGTTCAAGACTGCAGTGAGTTGTGACCATGACACTGCACTCCTGCTGCTATAGAGCAAAACTAGGTCTCAAAAATAAAAATGTAATGAGGATGTGGAAAAATAGGAAGCCCTAATGCTTGAAGCCCCACTGGACCGCCGTGAAAATGTAAAGTGGTACGGCTGCCGTGGATAACAGCTTAGCAATTCTTCAAAAGTTTAAACAAAGAATTACCATATAACTCAACAACTGTGGCCATATACTCAAAATAATTAAAAACTGGTACTCAGATACTTATTTGTCCTTGGCATATGTAGATGCATTATTCACAATGGTCCCAAAGTAGAAGAGTCTATGAATACATGAATGAATGAACAAAATGTGGTGTACACATGCTGCAGACTATTTATTAGCCATAAAAAATTAGGCTTTGATACATGCTCCAAGATGAACTTTGACATCATGTTAATTAACATCAACCAGACACAAATGACAATTATATGATTCCACTTAAATGAGTTACCTAGAATAGTCAATTTTTTTTTCGAGACAGTCTCAAGCTGTTGCCCTTGGTGGAGTGCTGTGCTGTCATACATAGCTCACAGCAACCTCCAACTTGGGCTCATAAGATCCTCTTGCCTCGGGTTTTTTGTTTTTTTTTTTAAATAGTTTAGACAGCTAATGATCTTTATTTATTTATTTATTTTTTGCAGTTTTTAGCCAGGGCTGGGTTTGAACCCACCACCCTTGGCATATGGGGAGAGCACCCTACTCCTTGAGACACAGCCACTGCCCTAGTTTTTCTATTTTTAGAAGAGACAGGGTCTTGCTTTTGCTTAGGCTGGTCTAGAATTAGTGAGCTCAAGCAATGCACTTGCCGCCTCCTCCCAGTAGGGTTACAGGCATAAGCCACCACACCTGGCCTACAACAGTCAAATTCAAAGACAGAAAGTAGAATGGTGGTTGCCAGAGGCCGAGAAAGAGGAAGGAACTGGAACTTACTGCTTCCTAGGTACCAAGTTTCTGTTTGGGATGATGAAAGAGGGCTGTTGGGAATATACTTACTGCACTGAACTGAACACCTAAAAATGTTTAAAATGGTAAATCTTATGTTTCTTTTACCACATTTAAAACAACATTAAACACAACTTCTGCTGAATAAAAATCTTTAAATTATCACCATAAAATAGAAATTATCTACAAAATGTTACATAATTTTTTAAAGGATCGTTAAAATTTTAAAAATTTAAACACTGGCTCGGCACCTGTGGCTCAAGCGGCTAGGGCGCCAGCCACATACACCTAAGGTGGCGGGTTCGAATCCCCAGCCCGGGCCTGCCAAACAACAATGATGGCAGCAACCAAAAAATGGCCGGGCGTTGTGGCGGGTGCCTGTAGTCCCAGCTACTTGGGAGGCTGAGGCAGGAGACTCGCTTGAGCCCAGGAGTTGGAGGTTGCTGTGAGCATGATGCCATGGCACTCTACCCAGGGGGACAGCTTGAGGCTCCGTCTCAAAAAAAAAAAAAAAAAATTAAACACTGAGCACATATTTATGCATCCAAGATCAAGAAACATTGTCATATGCTAGTATAGGGTGACCAGTCATCCCGCTTTTTAACAAATTTGTCCCACGTCCCGTGGCCCGTGGCATTTTTAAAAAGTCCCAATTTTTGGAAAGAATGCACGAATGGGTGGAAGAACAGGAAGGGAATATACGGTTTTTGGCTGCCATGTAGCTATTTCGCCAGAATATGAGTTTTATATTATTTTTGTTAATTTTATAATGTTAAACTGTAATAATAACAAATAATTGTTGAGAAGTGATTATCAAGAACTGCTTATCAAAGTTTGCATTGTTGTCAGGCCCTGCCCTGCCCCGCCCCGCCCCCTGGCCATGTTGTCCTGCTTTACAAATGTTAAAATCTGATCACCCTATGCTAGTACCAACTGATATGGCTACACTTGTGAGCAGTGTAGCTTTTTATTATTCCCAGGACTGCAAGTGTACTGACTTTTACTAATGGAACTGCTACTTTTCATTAGTTTCACTGATGTGTAACTTACAGGTAGTCATTAACAAAGGCAAACATACATGAGTCTTTTTCCAAATATGACAGGCATATTTGTATTATTTCACATAAAAAAAAGAAGAGAAAGAAAAAAATTAAATGCCTAGTATAGTACATACTTTACCTATACATGTATATTTTTGTAAATTGTGATTTCTGGCCCCAAAGTTTTGTGAACCTATTAAAAATTACAAATGTATTAAAGAACAGAATGGATCTATAATATTTTACAAATAAAATCAAGATTTCCCTTGCAGCTCTTAAAACAAACTTGCTTATAATTTGACCCCCATAATTGTATAAAATATAAATGAAATTAAAAGCAAAGAAAAAAAATGGGGCTATTACTTCCACCTAGCTATTACTTCCACCTATTTGCAATTAATATCTCAAATTCTCAAAAAATATGAAAGATAGTTTATTCTTATTGGTAACAAAAGATTTGGTGGGGGAATATTAATCAGGAAATTTATAAATCAACTTGAACAAGAGCAGGACGCCAACTCTAGTAAAAACATTAAAAAATTGCCAGGTATGGCTTGGTGCCTGTGGCTCAAGTGGCTAAGGCGCCAGTCACATACACCTGAGCTGGCAGGTTTG